GTGGACCAGGTGAGACTTGGGATTTTATTCTGAGTGTTGTGGGAAGCCAAGAATGGCTTATGCAGAGAAGGGACAAGACCAGATTAATTTTTCAAAGATCTCAATAGCTTCTCTGGGGAGAACGGAACTCAAGGGGCGCTGTGTAGATATGACATGGGATCCACGCTCCACCAGAGACTCAAGCACGAGCCCCCACGCTGTCTTCTCAGGCCAGGCCTTTCCAAGGCCACCATGGAACAGGCTGCTCCCAGCTGGCCCCCGCCTGACCAGTGGGTCTGTCTCCAGCCTCTGCGACCCAGGAACGCCTGCTCTCTAGTTATCACATCTCCTGGCATTCTGAATCCACTGGGGAAAGACCACCAGTGAGTTCAGAGGAAAGTAAATGGCAGCATCAGAGGTTGTTTTTCAGCATTTTTCCAGGCCCCAAGGGCCCACGAGGTTCAGAGTATCATTGAACTGTTTGCTCATGAGATGCTGGCTGTGATCTTGGCGAGGCAGCAGTGAGCAGTGGTGTGAAGCGAGATCTTAATTCCCTGCCCAGGAATTGAACCGGGGTGGCCTGGATGAGAACCAGAAATCCCAGCCATCAGGTCAGCAAGGGCTAGAGGCTAGAAGCTATTTTTCCCTGGATCTTTGCCACCAGTGAAAAAATACATTTATCATGGAAGCCAAAACGGTAAATGCAGGTACAAAGTTTATTATTAGAGGCACAGCACAACAACAAGTGGGGGAGCACGCAGAGAAACAATTTGTCAATTTGTTTAGTTAAGATGGAAGCAAGGCAGAGATGCATAGCCGGGAAAAGTTCGGGTGTCCGCATTAGTAAGAAGGAGCTCAGAAAAGAGCCACTTAAGTCATTTACACAGGGCCGTTCTTCCCCATCTTTGCTTACCTTTCGCCAATTATCTGGTTTCTTTCTCCACGTCTGACCTGCCCTAAGACTCCCCCCAACATGCAGGTGCAACTTTTTGCCAAGGATTACAATGCAAAGGCGTCTGGAAGAAGCAAGCCTCATTATGGCCTGGCATCCCTGACTTTTGACCCCCAAGGAGGCTTTCTGCACGTGGCTGGTGTCTCTCTTGCCCCAAGGAGGGGAAATATGTGGCCTCTTAATTCTTTACTCAAACAAGGTTTAGCTTCTCTTTGTTCCTGACATGACTTAAGGCCTCCACAAGAGACAAAGCCTGGCTATTGGCCTGTTTCAGTTGCTACTTCCATTGATGAGAGCAAACAGGAGGTTGATTTGTAAGTGCCTAACCTGGAGCCTGGGCTTCCTTGGTGGCTCACCAAGTAAAGAATAACCCTGCAATGCAGGAGACTCGGGTTCAATCCCTGAGTCAGGAAGATCCCCTGGAGGAGAACATGGGCATCCCACTCCAGTATTCTAGCCTGGAGAATCCCATGGACAGAGGAGCTTGGCAGGCTACAGTCCAGAGGGCCACAAGGACTCGGACACAACTAAAGCGACTTAACATGCCCACCTATCTCCTGGCTCAGGAAATGCAAACAGGAGGCTAGTGTAAGTGTCCAACCTGAAGTCCATCTGTTTCTCGCCCCAAGAAGTGTAAACAGAAGGCTGGTTGTGAATGCCTAGCCTGGAGCCCATCTATCTCCTGCCTCAGTTGCAGCTCGAGCTGAGCAATAAGCAGCCAGCTGAGCTGTGCTCTGCAGATCAGACCCGAAGGAAGACACTCAGTTCAAGTACTGTTTCTGCCCCAACTCTCTGTGCAACCTCTGATGACTTAAGGCATGTCGCTGGGCCAGAGACCCCTTCTCCAGAACAGAGGGTGGAACTGATGTTCCCTTCAGCCCTTCCAGACTCCAGAGGCAGAACCTCCTAGAGTTTGAGCTGGAGGCAAGCCAAAGGCATCTGCAGAGAGCTACACAGTCATCTGGAGGCCAGGACCTGGGCAGTCTGGCCTCTTCCATGCTGTCTTGGCTGGAGAGACAGCAAGGATGTCACTGGGGTCTCACCACCCTGAGGGATGGAGTGAGCAGCAGCCCTGTGCCCGCCAGCTCCCAAGCTATTCACTCATGCCAGGAAGTTCTTGAAACATGAACCTATGTTATTTTTCTTCTTATTTATTTTCCTCTCTTGGCTCTTGCCCTGATCCAGGTGGCCCAAGGGAAGGGCTGTCACAGAGGAAGGCAGAGAAAGGGGCAGTCTTTTTCTGGCTTCTGCAGTTCAAAAGCCTCCCCTTTCAGAGGAATGGAAAGACCTCCAGGCACTCTTTCCATTCCTCTGAAAGGGGAGGCTTCCTGAGCCCCCACCACACCCCCAGACTAGCAAAGGATTCCCAGGGCAGCTGGGAGGCGCAGAGTAAGTATAGACACACCTCGGAGGTACATGTGGGCTCAGTTCCAGGCCACCACAATGAAGTGAGTCACATGAATTTTTGGTTTCCCAATGCATATAAAAGTTATGTGTACACTACACTGTAGCCTGTTAAGTGTGCAATAGCATTATGTTTAAAAAAAATGTACAACTATACACCTGAAAGTAAAGCAACAGTGTAAATCAACTATATTTCAGTTAAAAGAAAAGAAACAAACAAGCAAAAGACCTATGTACCTTAATGAAGAAATACTTAAGGGTTAAAAATACTAACCACCAGAGAGCCTTCAGCGAGTCATAAACTTTTTGCAATAGTGACATCGAAGATCACTGATCAGAGATCACCATGACAAATGATCATGAAAAAGTCTGAAATACTGCAAGAATTGCCGACCTGTGACACAGAAACATGACGTGAGCAGATGCGGTTGGAAAAATTGGCACCAAGAGCCCTTATCAACACAGGGCTGCCACAAATCTTCAATTTCCAGAAAGCATCATCTCATGAAGCACGTCTGGATTACCACAGATCGGTGGTCTCTGCTGAAGCAAGTGCAAGCAGTAAGAGGGTTTAAAACCAGTAAAGCTCCCTAAATGTCCATATGCTTTTTAATATCACCATGCACCAGCAAGTCTTAACAATGTCAGTGATAAAATACTCCTACCTGGAATATTCTCCTAAGTCCAAGCTGAAACCATCTGATATGGGTAACATTGAGTTTTCATAATATATATGTAAGCTCCAAACTAGCACATGTTTACTGCTTATCTTTCAACAGACATCATATTCTACATGGAAATTATTTCTAAGAACTTCCAGTCTCCAACAGGTTCATGTCAAGAATAAGTTTGTCATGAAGACAAGAACACAAATCTACTAATAACAACCTTTGTAAACCCATGCAGGAAATTAGGAGGGCTACAGGACTAGAAGGTGGGAAAAAATGGATATTAAAAAGTTTATACAAGGACTTCCCTGGCGGTCCAGTGGTTAAGAATCCACCTGCCAATGCAGGGGACACAGGTTCAATCCCTGATCAGGGAAGATCCCACGAGCTGCAGAGCAACGAAGCCCACGTGCCACAACCACTGAGCCTGGGTTCCAGAACTTGTGCTCCACAACAAGAGGAGCCACCGCAGAGAAAAGCCCAAGAAACACAGCTAGAGAGTAGCCCCACTTGCCGCAACCAGAGAAAGCCCTCTCACCGCATCGAAGACCCAGAGCAGCCAAAGACTAATAATTATTCTTTTTTAAGTTTATACAAAACCTTTCTTTGGTTTTCCAGTTGCACCACGTGGCATGCAGGATCTTAGTTCCCCACGCAGTGACCCTGCAGTGGAAGCACAGAGTCTTAACCACTGCACCACCAGGAAAGTCTCTGGACAGACTTAAATGAAGTCTCTCAAGGTAGAGAAAGCAGATATGATAATGGCGTTCCAGGATATAAAGGATGGCCACATGAAAGAAGAGTTTCATTTATGTCATCTTTCTCAAAAAGGCAGAACTAGAACTGACAGGTGGGAACAGTAGAGTGTATTTGCACATAGGTAAATAGAAAAATTGATGGCTAAAGCTATTTAACAAAAGGACAGACTAAGAATGATGATCTAGAGGAGTGGGAAGGCGAGATAGGAGAGTTGAGAGAGGGAGGGGATACGTGTATACATGTGGCTGAATCACTGCTCTGTGCAGCAGAAACTAACACCATATTGTAAAGCAGCTATACCCCAATAAAGGAAATAAATAAATATAAACAAAAGTTTTTAATAAATAAATAAAATAACAAGCTAAGTACAAAGTAGAAAGCTTGCCATCTTGAAAGTTTTCATATAGAAGCCAGTGACTATCCACTTAGATTGCTGTGAAAATTAAATTTGCTCACTATAGAAAGCACTTCGTACTGTCTGGAACACAGAAACAGCTCACTACACATTACCTATTATAACTATCTGCTATTATTATTACCTGAAAGTTTAGTGAAACTTCTCTGTCAAATCATCTGGACCCTCTGGTTCTTAGTTACTATGCTAATCAGATTTTTAAGTCTACTTGGGTAAATTTTACAGTTTGTTTTCTTCCTTTTTTGTTGTTTTGTTTTCTCCATTTATATATGTTTTTTTAAATATTGTTCTGTTATAAACCTGTATACTATATTTTGTTGTAATGAAGAAGGTTATCTTATCAGTGGCTTAAAAAAAGAGTAAGTTTTTCCGAAGGTGCAGAATCCTCGGAGCTGACTTCAGATTCAGTTCTTGCCTCCAGCTCCTGTTTGCTACAAGTCCAAAGTGATCCACAAACATGTTGGGCTCGTAAAGAGCAAGGAAGAGAACTTGAGTTTCTTCATTTCTGTCATCTCAGACCACTTGGAGCTTCTCTTTGGGTTTAAAATTTTAAACAGTAAACGAGTGTAAGGTCTAATATTTTTGTTTCAGATGAACATTTTAGTTCATATATGAAATATTGGACTGAATTTTAATATCCTTAAAGTTGAAATGTATTCTTTTTCAATTGCTGATTGTTTTAAAACTAAAGAACAAATAAATAAAACAGTGCATCAGTGGTACAATTTAGCAGCTGCCTAAATTTACCTTTTGCAGGTATGTAATTCAATTTTATAAAAACTCACTTCTGGGTAAATTTTAATAGAACAATTATTTACATAAGATGTTAATACAGCAGACTGTAATCAAAGAATCAGAGTTCATTAGGTAAATATACAAACTATTGAATAAATAGCTGTGCTGTGTGTGTGTATGTTTTCTTGAAGTGTAATTGATTTACAATGTTGTATAGTTTCAGATGTACAGCAAAGTGATTCAGTTATACATACGTATATATTTTTAGACTCTTTCCCTTGTGAAAGTGAAAGTTGCTCCATCGTGTCCGACTCTTTGCCACCCCGTGGGCTATACAGTCCATGGAATTCTCCAGGCCAGAATACTGGAGTGGATACCTTTTCCCTTCTCCAGGGGATCTTCCCAACCCAGGGATCGAACCCAGGTCTCCCACATCGCAGGCAGACTCTACCAGCTGAGCCACAAGGATAGTTCCCTGTGCTATACTGTAAGTCCTTTTTGGTTATCTAAGTATATAGTGGTATGTATGTATTGACCCCAAACTCCTAATATATAACCCTCTTTCCCTTTGGTAACCATAAGCTTGTAGCTCTATTTCTGTTTTGTATATGAGTTCATTTGTATCATTTTCTTTTTAGATTTCACATCTAAGTAATATCATATGACATTTGTCCAGTTTACTTACTTCACTAGATTATTTACTAGTATGAAAATCTCTAGGTCCATCCTTGTTGCTACAAGTGGCATTACTTCATTCTTTTCGTGATTGAGTAGTATTTCATTGTAGATATGTACACATCTTCTTTATCCAGTCATCTGTCAATGGACATTTAGGTTGCATCCATGTCTTGGCTATTTCAAATAGTACTAAATAGCTGTGTTTTAATGTGTGAAAATAGTGTGTTCTGATATTTACTTTTGCCAGCAGTGTGTGTGTATTTCAATAAAAGAAAATGATCTTGATGGATAATTAAATCAGTGATCACTGTCTGCCTTTCTTTTCTGACCTTTATTCCTCATTTCATTTCACAGTTGTACTGAGAATAAGTTTTGTTGTCTAGAGTAGCGAGGCATTAAAAAGGGATCCCCTCTGGGTATCAAATCCACCAGGGAAGCCATGGAGAGATCAAGCCTTAGTGAGGTGGCAGTCTCCAGATGGGTATGAAGAATCTGAGAGCAGACAGCAAATGCCACCCAAAGAAGAAATGGATGAATGATAATCTTAAGTGGGATAACAGCAGAATCTCCCAGCCTCAGCATCACGTGGGAGCAGCAGCAGGATTCCTGGGCACCCAGGAGTGGCTCCGAGGTGGTAGAGGAAGCCAGTGAGCTTGAGGCCTGCAAGGCTGATGACCAACAGCAAGAGATGAGCTGGTGACAGGTGACACCAGGCAGCACCGATGTCCCCACTGCACAAAGTCCACCAACGTCTTGGTTCTGAACAAGCCCCCTGGAAGTTAGCACAACTCTGGACAGGGAGAGGCCCAAGAGGGCTGAGGCTAAATTCCCATCCCCTTAGCAGAGTGAAGGCTTGAGACTGAAATTGCATTTTATTTTAGTATCATAGAAACATTATACACTATTATTAAATGTATTGCTCGGTCGTGTTCGACTCTCTGTGACCCCATGGACTGTAGCCATCAAGCCCCTCTGTCCCTGGGGTTTTTCAGGCAAGAGGACTGGAGTGGGTTGCCATTTCCTGTTCCAAGGGACCTTCCCAGCTCAGGGATTGAACCCACATCTCCTGCGTCACGTGGCTTCTTTACCACTGAGCCACGGGGAAGTGCCGGGAGCCATTATGGGAGATCCCACCCATGACGAGGTCATGAAGAAAATACCTGACATGCAAGGCCGTTCAGGATACAAGGGACCCTCCAGGTTGACCCCGGCCTCTACCCCACCCTGTATCCTCCCCCTTTTTCTGCTGTTGTTCTTGTTTGCCCTGCTGCAGATTCTTGTGTTGCCTGCCGAGAGCTCTCCTGCTCCTCTTTCATTGAATAAAGACCAACTTAAAACCCTAATTAATAAATCTCCTAGACGCTGGTATCCTATGAAGGGGCCAGGGATGAAAAAAATGCTGCAGTTCAAACCCTTTAGCTGGCATTCTGGCTTGTTTAATAAATGTGTGCTCCCATTGCAAGAGATTAGTTGGTGACTTCTTGCAGATAGTTAACTTTTAGACTAAGAGCCTGTTTTGTGCTATATTTGCTGTTTTTGCAATCCTTTGCATTTCTGTTCCGTAATAATGTAATCCTATCTAGTTCCCATAGAGATGATGCCTAACAGAAAGAAAATAGATTAACCACAAAAAAGACAGGGTTAGCTACTGAAGTTGCTTAAAGTTACACCAGGTGCAAGCCATAAATTGTCAACAGGCCTGAAGGCCAAAAGATATTATACATAAAGATTAACCATAAAAAAGGCCCTAATAGGCAAAGAGCACTTCGGGGGGTGAGGAAACCCTATTAGAAAACACAAAAAATATTATTTTAAAAGTGGTTATTGGATCAACGTTTGGTTGCTGTTAATGTGCCGAGGTTGTGCAGTGTTAACTATAGTTAATATAGTTAAAGATCTAGAAAAATAAGAGTTTAGCCCTAGTGTAAAAACAATAAGATAACTGTTAATTTTAACCAGGAGTGCTAAACAGGGGCTGCCTCACCAGAGCCGCAGAGTCTTTGTGTGTTAAACTTTTTAGATAAATTTAGCTGAGAACTTCTACAAGAAGACTGACCTTTGTGTTAACAGGATTGTATTTCTACTATGTTACAACCTGCTGTGCCATGAGACTGCCACTTTATTTTCCGCCAAGATCAAGGCCAGAAGATAATGTACAAAAAATCTATGGGAAAAGACTCTCATAAACAAAAACTATACAGAGAATACCTGGTTTCGTGAAAGAGAAGCTGATGTAATGTTAAACTAAGTCTGCGTGCTTATCTCCCCCTTAGAAATTTACCAACTTAGGGTATAAAGGCTACAGTGGAAAATAAAACGCTGCCAGACCCTGCTGCACATCCTGCTCTGGTCTCCTGTCTCTCTCACTCGCCGATGTCCTTCATCCTGAGGGTCCCCTGGATCCTGCTGGGCTGGGCCCCGGCAGGGAAGCCCATTGTGTGTGTTGTGTATGTTTATATATGTATATGAGACAAAATACACTACACAGTATATTACATATAAAATATATAAATATAAGCTATAACTATTTTAGTTATAAAAATAGAGATAGATGATAGACAACGTTCTCGCTCACGTTTGAGGATGCTGTGTCACCCTCATACGTAGAGTGATGTGGTACCCAGTGGAGACAACGCAGGCCGTGGGAGGGGCATGCAGGGCCAGGGGCTCACCAGACTCCTCTGCATGAGACATCGCTGGGTCTCAGACTGTTGCCTGTGGTGGTCTTCCCTCCTGCTCCCTGTTCGTGTGGGACCACCGCAGTTCCACAGAGCCAATCGGCCGGCCAGCAACAGAGCCGGGCCCTGACCCACGTCTGCTGACCCCAACACTCACATCCCCTGTGTCGGCCGCGGGCAGGGCTGTACCACCCACCCGAGGCCCCGGGCAGAGGGGCCTCGGCGGTGACCTGCCAAGTCCACGGTGGGAGGAAGCTCAGGGCAGGGGAGACGGGAGAGGACCGACACGGAGGGCAGAACCTGGTGACTCACGGCAGAACAAAAAGGCTGCAGAATTCAGCGGGCAAGTGAAAGCTCCCTGGGAAAGGTCAGGAAGTGAATTGTCACGCGCTGTCAACCCATATCTGCTGCCCAAATCCCCGGAGCCGCCAGTAAGACGGAGGGAACCAGTTTCCACCCTGCAGGACAGGGCCTTCTATCACCTTCACAGTCCCCACCCTCAGAGGAAGCTTCCCCGAGAGCCAAGAACCTGCTGGTTCTGCCAGGCGTCCGGGTCTCAGGGAAAGCCCAACCCCAGCTCCCACCCCGTCCCCACCCTCCCACCTCGCCCCCAAGTTTCAGCTCCAGCAGCAGAGAGGGCTCAGATCCTCAGCGGGTTGAAGCCTGCCGCACCCCCATCCCTCCCTGAAACTCCAGGTAGAGCAAAAGCCAGGTCGCTTTGTACCTGGGTCCAACCCACAGCAGGGAGTAGGTGAAGCGTGTCCGCAGGATGCCACTAGGAAGCCCACGTGAGCATCTTGACCGGCTACTCCCCTTTGTCTGAGAGTTCAGGGACGTCTTGCCCTGGGAAGGTAAGATCCCCGTGGAAATCAGAACCGCGGACACCCACCCCGACACCCTCCCGCTCCCGCCTCCCCAGCCCTGTCACTCCCCACCATCAACCCCTCCACAGAGAGTGTTAACACCAGTGAGGAGGGCAGCGCACCTACACCCAGGCATCTGGGCAGAAGGAGGTGTGTTGTTGCTGTGTGGTTGGTAATGGCAGAAAAGCTGCAAACAGTGTTAAGCGTCCACCAAAAAGGTACCGGTAATGGAAATTATATTACATCCTGCAAATACATAGTCTACAGCATGAAAAAAGTCGAAATCGGTAAATGCCAAGGTTTGCAAAGATATCCCGGATGTAACATTAAGAGGGAAAAGCAAGCTCCAGAGCTGTGTAAGTAGAATGATACTATTATGGGCTGGTTTTTCTACATTTAACACTCACTCCCCTCCAGGGGGCTCAGGCAGTAAAGAATCTGCCTGCAATGTAGGAGACGTGGGTTCGATCCCCGGGTCAGGGAGATCCCCTGGAGAAGGGAATGGCAACCCACTCCAGTATTCTTGCCTGGAGAATCCCATGGACAGAGGAGCCTGGCGGGCCCCAGTCCATGGGGTCGCATGGAGTCAGACACGACTGAGTGACTAACACGTCTCACCTTCCCCTCCCGTTCATTCTCTGATCTTTCTATGATCTGCTCTGTGTCCCTTCAGGCTGACCTCTAAGGACCACAAAACCCAGGCTTCCTTGCTGCTTAATACCAGTTGGGTAGGCCGAGGGAAGGCTCTGGCTATAGATCAGAGGATGGGATGAAGGAGAAGCTGGGATATTCTCTCTGGGCCCTCCTTGCCTGCTCTGATGTTGGCTGCGTTATGCTATGGCCACCCCTACAGATATTGTGAAGCCCTACTGGTTTTGATGTTTCTACTCCATATCATATCAAACACATTACAATATATATGCTTCTCACAATAAGTAAAATTTTGCCTATAAAGTTTCAAAAGGAGCTTGTATAAATTTAATAATTCTGCTCCTAAGACTAGATTATTCATTTGGTTCATACTGCATCTGGTGGTTGGTGCTTTAGTGGCTAAGTTGGGTCTGACTCTTGAAACCCCATGTACTATAGCCCACCAGGCTCTTCTGTCCATGGGATTTCCCAGGCAAGAATACTGGAGTGAGTAGCCATTTCCTTCTCCAGAGGATTTTCCTGATCCAGGGTTCGAACTTGGGTCTTCTGCATTGCAAATGGTCTTCTGCATTGCAGGCAGATTCTTTACTGACTGAGATACCAGGGAAGCCCTACGTATAACTATATCATGGTTGAACTGAGTCCCATCAAGCTAGTGGAAATAATGTTACCTAGATAAATATTCATTGATTACAATTTAAAAATTTTCCTTTTATACTTGGAAGCCAAGACATACATGACAATTTTTTAGGCCCTCTGAAAGCCCACAGGCTGTAGGCATCAGTGCCAGTGGATAGTTTTGTCTATTCTGGCTGGAATGTCCAGGCTTCTCCTGGGAGAGCTAGGTCGGTGTAGGAGTCGTTCTCAGGAGCCACAGAGGCAGAATAGAATGGACCAGAACCACAAACAAAATTCTGCTCTGTCAGGGACTATTTCCTGAATGAGCCCAGAGTGGGAAACCCGGAGTGGAGGGAGGAGGCTGAAGTCTACAGCTTGCCCCATGAGCTGACCCCACAGGCCTGTAGCCTGACCAGCCCTGTTCTGGCAGCCAGGCCAGATGGATAGCATCAGAATCAGGCCCTCCCACAGCCTCCAACCTATTTTCTGGGCCAGGCTGGGACTTGCCATAGGCCAGATGCCAGCCCAGGCTGCACCCCAGCTTCCGCTTCAGAGGATACAGCAAGCACCAAGCCCAGGAGGGAACAGCTGGTCTCAGTCAATGCCTTTGCTGGGCTGCTGCTGGGCTGGGCTGGGCCGGGCCCTCCCACCCCCCCCACCCCCATCAGACCTCTAAGTGGGCACCTGGGCAGACTCCCCAAGGGGCACTCATCAGAGCTCACCAACCTGGCAGCCACGTGGGCACATGCACAGTCCACATGCAGAGCGGAGGGATGGGCAGACCTTAAAATCTAGACCCCCAAGCAAGCTTTCCAGACCACCTGGCTCCCTCCACCCTCGGGCCCCGGTGTAAGCTGGAGCCAGGCACAAGGTGCCCTCGGCCTCCAAGATGGAGCCCAGGAAAGGGTGGACCCAGGGCAGACTCCTTGGTCACTGCCCTAGCTGCGGCCAGGCCTCATGTCTGTAGGTCCAGAGCCAAGCCCAGCCCACAAGGGCTACGGTTTTGGTTGGGGGGACTCAGCAAGAACTGTGCCAACACACAGCCACCTACATGGTGCTAATAACCAAGAGCCTTGTCTTCCTGCAGGCACTTGTCTTCTCGGCACAGGAACCAGGCGACTGCCCATATGTGGCCAGAAATGGTGGTGCCCGGCCGTCACCGTGTGCCAGGGCGGGTTGCGGGCTCTGGTCTGGAATTCACTGTGTTGGGGGATCAAGAATTTGAGGAGAAGTTATTAGAATCTAAGACACTGTGGAGTCTGAGCCTTGACTGGCGCTTTCTGCCTAACAGCCCAAAGACAAGGCAGAGAAGCTGCAATTCGGTAGATTCCTGGGCAGAGAAGAGGGATGCCCCTCCCCCGCCATCCCACCAAAGGCCAGGATGGAAGTGTCTTGGGACCCTCGGATCCAGGGAAGGAGGATCCAGAGAGAGATGCAGGGGCAAGAACAGGACATGCACACTTCCCCACAACACAGCCTTGGAGACCAGAACACAGACCGCTCGAGTGAACAGGCCAAGGTCTTTCACGAAGGCTGCATTTTTAAGGTTCTTGACCTGATGAGCTGTCTTGATGACACCCATCATGGGGCCCTCCTCTGCACAGCCCCTGAGCAGTGTCACTAAGTGGACAGGCCAAGAGCCCAGAAGACCCTCCCTGTTGGACAGCCAGTTAGGGGAGGCTCCGTGGAGACACCCTTGCTCAGTGGCTCAAAGCTGGGGATATAGAAATACTCCTGGGGGAACTTCCCTGATGATCCAGTGGGTTAAGACACGGCACTTGCAATGTAGGGGACACAGGCTTGATCCCTGACTGAGGAGCATAGCCCGCCAGGCTCCCCTGACCGTGGAATTTTCCAGGCAAGAATACTGGAGTGGGTAGCCATTCCCTTCTCCAGGGGATCTTCCCAACTCAGGAATCAAACCCGCATCTTTTGCATTCAGAGATTACTTCTCATTACTATTTGAGCCACCAGGAAAGCCCAAAGTGAAAGTGCTAGTTACTTAGTCATGTCCTACCCTTTACAACGCAGAGGACTCTAGCCTGCCAGGTTTCTCTGTCCATGGAATTCTCCAGGCAAGAATACTGGAGTGGGTAACCATTCCCTTCTCCAGGGGATCTTCCCAACTCAAGAACTGAACGTGGATCTCCTGCATTGCAGGCAGATTCTTTATCATCTAAGTTGCCAAGGAATGTTCATCCTACAGACAAGGAAATGGAGGCAGAGAGGAGTGAGATACGTTGCCCAAGATAATAAAGTTGGTAAGCTATGTGTCTGGGAGTCAACTCAGAGACAGATTCCTTCTGGATCCTGTTCTCTCCCTTTGTAGTATTTTTTTTAATTGTGGCAAAACACATATAACATGAACTTTGCTATCTTAACCATTTGTAAGTATAGAGTTCAGGAGAATTAGACACGCTCATTGTTGTGTATTCATTACCCCGTCCACCTCCAGTTCGTCATCCCAAACTGAGACTCTGGCCCCATCAAACAAAATTAGCTCTCAGTCCCCCTCCCTGAGCCCCTAGCACCTAGCGTTCTTCTTTCTGACCCTGTGTATCTGACTGTTCTCCGTACCTTGTATAAGTGGACTCATAGTATGTATCTTTCTGGAATTGGCTTATTTCACTTAGCACCACGTCCTCAAGGTTCGTCCACGTTGTAGCAAGGGTCAGACCTAGTCTTCCCTTTTTTAACAATTGTCTTGCATTAATAATATCTTTATGTAATTCCAAGTTCAAAGGGCACCAAAGTGCTTAAAAATAAAGTCTCATTCTCTGGGTTCCCTCATCCACTTTGTGGAAACAGCCAGCACCACCACTTCCACAGACGTCCTCTGCATATACAAGCAATGACCTATGTGAATTGTTTTGCTCTTATATTCTGTTTTTTACTCTGTTCTGCCTTGATTTTGGTTTCTGTTTGACTCTTTAATTGTTTTTCCCCTTTGCAGCCTGCCTCAGAGATCGTTTCATGATCAGTTCAGAAAACCTTTCTCTCCTGATCTTTCAACTACACAGTAACTCACTCCACGAGTCCCCATGGTGGCTACTTCAGGTGGCTACAAGCTACCTGTGCTTATACCAGTATTAAGGCACCTCTGAGCCTCCAGCTCTCACAAACTGACAAGGACTCATTCATCGATTCATGCCACACAGATTCTTGTTTAGCAAACATTCTGTACGAGGTTAGAACAAGTAAAGAGCCGCAAAGTTAAAGCGCTGGGTAGTGGGCACAAAAGAGAGAGCTGCAGAGGCGGAGAGCAAGAGTGACCGCCGCAGGTTCGAGAAGGCTTCACACCGATCCCCTCCCGCATCCTATTCCTCCCGAGTCTCCTCTAGATCAGGAAACAGTCTCCAGGTGCTCGGTGCCCCAGGCAGAAACCAGCCAGGCTCACCCTGATGTATCCCTCTCCCATCCTCCTTCATCTATCCAGCATCAAGCCTGTCCCTGTGTCTCTCACATCCTCACCCCACTGCCATCAGCTGGTCCAAACCCACCATCCCTTTTGCCGAGCTGCTCCATCACCCCATCCCTTCCCCTCAGGGCAGTAGTCAGCAACATCTCTTCAGAAAGGAAATCAGGGACTTCCCTGGTGATCCAGTGACTAAGACTCTGCATTCTCAATACAGGGGACCTGAGTTCTATCCCTGGTTAGGGAACTAGATCCCTCATGCAGCAACTAAGAGTTCACAGGCTGCAACACTGTAAAGCAATCATCAGTCAATTAAAAATAAATTTAAAAAAGAAACTCAAGTGAAAAGTAAATGATTTGGGGGATAAGGATGTGGAGATTTTAAATTATATAAAATTAAATTTTCTACTAGTTTGATAAGTAAACTGAAAAGTCCACAGTTCTGTCATTAAATTTATTTCTGAAAAAAAAATTCGACACAGAAGAGCAAAGGAATGAGATTCAAATGGTAAGCAAGGGCCAGTGGAAAAGGGCCTCGTAAGTCACACTTGAATTTTATCCCATCTGCCCAAGGCAGCTTTAAAAGGGTTTCAAGAAGGAGGAGGATAAGATAAGCAGGCTTTAGAAAGATCATTCTAGTGGTCTTTCCCAGAATGGCCAAGGAGGGAGAGCTAGGAGGCAGAAGGCCATTTAGGAGGTGACTCTGAGTCGGGGAGGCCTGTGTTCTAAGGCACAGGCTTTGGAGAAGAAAGGAGGCCGCCACTGACATGGTGTCAGAAGGGGCCACGGTCACAGCCTGGAGCCACCAACACGGAAGCTTGGCCAGTAAAGAATCAACATCCAAAGAACAAGGGTGGGCAGGGAGAAAAGCAGAGAGTCGTGGGAGCACAAGAGAGAGAACAATTCAAGAAGGAAATGGTGAGAGGTTAAGGCCATGAAGAGGTCAAGTGCTACTAGGCCTGTAGGGCCCGTGGGTTTGTCATCAGGAAGGCAGGACTCCAGACCCGGCTGGCACAGTGCATCCTCCAACCTGACCTGGGCATTGGGTTTCTGGAGAACTTAATCTGTCAACATGCTTCAGTCCAGGGTCTCGCCCAAGTCTGACCACAAGACACTCTGGACCACATGACTCTGGAGGCTTGAAGTCCAGCCACTTCCTTGGAGTGGAGCCCGCTGGAGTATCAAGGAAACCCAAGTCTCAGTCCTGTCACTGCCACTGGTACGGGGCCTTGGGCCTCAGTTTCTCCTGGGGTGATGGGATCAGGCGGGCTCTGCCGTCTGTCCATCTACACTGCCCAGAGCTCAGGTCCGAAGGGAGTAGCAAAGGCGGCCAGCTCTCCAAGCCCTCTGGCTCAGGAACGCTCACCGCCTCCACACTGGACTCCGGGTTCCTCACCTAAGTGGCCCATTGTGTGAGCTCTGTTTCACTGGGGACAGAAACTGGCTTGAGAAATGAGAGTATTTACTTTTTCCACCTAGCTGATGCCCAAGTAAACAATGCAATCCCGTAAGTGGATCCCGTGACCTGCCCTCCCCACTGCAGGAGAGTATAAGAAGGTATCCCAGTGGGCACATCACTCATGAGACCACCGGATCCAGGGACAGGGCCAGAGCCTCCCTCACCAGCCTCCTGCCCACCATGAAGCTCACCATCGCCATCGCCCTGGTCACCCTGACTCTCTTCTGCAGACCTGGTGAGTGTCCAGAGCCCTCCACCCCAAGCCAGCCTCAGCAACTCTCCCAGCACTGCCCAGGAGAGGGGGCGGCTGTCCACGTCCTCTGTGTGGCTGCTCAGAGAGCCTGGGAATACTGACTTCCAGCCAGGAAGCTAGGTCTGGCAAAGAAGCCCATCTTAGGAATTTAGGCAGAGCCCTGAGGCTGTGATGAAACTTGTAAAGGACCCCATGTTCCATATCCAACAACCTCAGAAGTGCAGCGATGGAGAAGATCCCACCTAGACGCAGTGACCACTAGAACAGGAGTAACTAACAAGCTCCCCAAAGCCCAGGCCTGGACAGACCCCGAGGTGCCAAGAGACCTCAAGATTTGGGGTCAACACATCACCCCGGCAGCCAAAGAGGCGGTAGGGAGCCTCATGGCTTTCAAAGAAACCCAACCCCAGCAAGGTCTCCCATTCGGGACAGAGAGAAATATTCTAGAAAGCATTCTTCCCTTGGGGAAACTGCCAACTCAGAATGGAGATTTCTAAACATTTTTTTGTCCTCTGCAGAAAGGATTAGGAGTCTCTGAAGAGTTGCAGCTGTCATGAAGAGGAGAGTGATGGGGTAGGGGGTGTGGATCCCATCTTCCTCAAAGCCCCTGATCTTTTGGGAACTGGGTTACTTAGCTGCTTTTTATTCCATATCAGTCTCTTCTACTCCTACAACAAGAATAAAAAAAGTAAACAAATTCCAACTCCTTCACTTTGAAAGTTCCCTAAGAAAAATAGAGATAAGTTTTATGACCTTGGGGAGTGGCAGGGAAGTTAGAGACCAAGAGGCAGCAGGAAAAACTATGGTGCAGAGATGCCTGTTTTAAAGGGGATGTAACATCGTTTGGACTGGAATGTACGTTGATTAGAAGATCTTAGCGCCAGGTACAGCCCAGCAAGACAGGGTGAAATACGTAGGTGGTGGGTCTGGGATGTGTTTGTGTGTCTGTGTGTGTGCACATATAATAATACCAATAATAAGCTCTAGCGTTTGTCTGTGCCCACCCCTGTGCTGAATCCCGTTCACATATTATGTCTTTTCATTCTTACAACAATACTATGAAGTGGGGACATTACCCCCCGTTTTTCAGATGAGAAAACTGAGCTATGGAAAGATAAAGTAGCTCGCCTGATGACACAGTAAGCTGCAAAGCAGTGATCTAAGTTCTGGAGAGGGTCTAACATGGAGTGACCACTCTGGGTGGAACCCCGGAGCCCTGGAAAGGGAGTTTGCACACAAGCTGGCAAGTCAAGGACAGGGATTTAAGACTCAGTGGGAAGTCAGGGCAAACAGGGAGCTGGGGATGGTGATTCTCCCCATGATCCCGGGATTGTTGTTGTTTAGTCGCTAAGTCATAGCTGACTTTTTGCAACCCCATAGACGGTAGCCGCCAGGCTCCTCTGTCCAGGGGACTTCCCAAGCAAGAATACTAGAGTGGGTTGCCATTTCCTTCTCCAGGGGATCTTCCAGACCCAAGGATCGAACCTGCAATCTCCTGCATTGCAGGCAGATTCTTTACCACTAAGCCACCTGGGAAGCCCCATGTTCTTGGGGGCACGGACCTAAAAAGGAAGCATGAGAGGGGGCGCCTTCAGATGAAAGGAACACGGTGGGGCTAGGAACAGGCGCAAAGGTGTGTCTGTGGGTGAATGAGCCCACAGGCTCGGCGCCCACAGAGGATGTCCCTTCCGGGCCAGGCTCGGGGGCTCATGCTTGGCGGGTACACGTGCCTCTTCCTGCCAGCGCCTGACTTAGTCACGTGGTCTCAGACCATCACTAACCATCAGTAAGAGGCATGTTTCTGCTGGGAGCCAAAACCCTTTGCGGCCTCTGCCCAGCCCCCACACACCACACTGGAAAAAAAAAAATCAGATCAGCCGCTCTATTCTCAGAGCTCCGCCTGGAACTCTTAACAGAAAGAACCGGTAGCACCTTGCCCGTCACAACCCAGGAAGTGCAAGGAAGGCGCAGGCAAGCCATGAAAAGCTGGCCGCAACCCAGAAGGCATCCACATGGTGCCAAAGAGTCAACTGCTGGCCGCGTCACCCTCCAGGCCGGGGGTGAGAGGGCCCCTAGCGCTTGTGGATCTGGGCCAGGCCCTGGCAGGGAACTGGCCAGTCTAGACACGGGCCTGGATACAGGGGCTCTCTCCTCTCTATTCTCCAGCATCCACAGAGGTCTGCCCCAGCCTTCTATATGCCTTGGGAAACCTCATCATCGGCACGCCTGCCAGCTACGAGGCTGCCCTGGAACCTTTCAACCCTGACGAAGACATGAAAGAGGCAACAAGACAGCTGAAGACACTGGTAGACACCCTCTCCCCGAAGGCCAAGGACAGCGTGTTAACTCTCATGGTACATGCTTCCTCCACACCCGCTGCCCGCGTCCCTGGGCTGCAGTGCCGCCCACTTCGGGGCATTTGTGCATGCTCAGTTGAGGAGTCGTGTCCAACTCTGCAACTCCATGGACTGTAGCCTGCCAGCCTCCTCTGCCCATGCAATTTCCAAGCAAGAATACTGGTGCTGCGCTGTGCTAAGTTGCTCAGTCATGTCCAACTCTTTGTGACCCCACGGGCTATAGCCTGCCAGCCTCCTCTGTCCGTGGGGACCCTCCAGGCCAGAATACTGGAGCAGGTTGCCATGCCCTCCTCCAGGGGATCTTCCCAACCCAGGGATCGAACCCAGGTCTCCCACATTGAAGGCAGATTCTTTACCATCTGAGCCACCAGGGAAGCCCCAAGAACACTGGAGTGGGGAGCCTATCCCTTCTCCAGGGGATCTTCCAAACCCAGGGATCAAGCCCACATCTTTTCCATCTCCTGCATTGGCAAGCAGATTCTTTACCACTATGTCACCTGAGAAGTCCCTACTTTGGGGACACTTTTCTAACCCAGAGAGGAGAGTCACAGTGCAAATGTCCCTGGAGAAGCAGGCACAGCCATCTTATCTTTTTTAAAGAAGCTCCCGAGGGACCCTCCTGGCAGCCCAGTAGTTAAGACTCCCAGCTTCCACTGGAAGGGGCATGGGTTCAATCCCTAGTCAGGGTGGCAAAAAAAAAAAAAATTAAAATAATTAAAACTAGAGAAGCTTCTGAGAAATAATCCAAGCTTAGCTCCTCCCACAAATACTGAAGCTCTTAGGTGACATTAAAGTTTCTGGGTCTGGCTTTGACATTTTCATTCACCATTGTATTGTGGATTTTGTTTTTTTGTTTTAGGGGAAAATAGTACAAAGTCCAGAGTGTGCTTAGGATTTAGAAGCTGAAGATCTCCACCTGCGAGGCCCCTGCCACTCCCCGGATGCCCCTTTCATTCCTTCCCCACCAGCCCCGCCTGACTCCTGCAATAAAGTACAAGCAAGCATCTCATCTGTGTGCCCACCTTTTTTATTCACCTGCTAGAATGAAAAGTGTGCCACTGCTGGGTAAGATTAGAGCAAAAAGAAAGGCAGTGGCCGTGGAAACACATCCCCAAGGGTCCAGACCTTGTCTCACTTCCAGTCCACAGATGGCCAGACCAGCTTCTAGCACATACTCCCTTCCATGGGCAGAGAGCCAGCCTGGAAACATTCCCAGGGCCTTGCTCAAACCTGACCTACAGGGAACAGTGGGGGCGGTGGGGGTGTCAGCAGGGGGAACGTTAGACATGGTGGCAGCTGACCTCAGGCTGACCTCCCAACCCCCATCCATTTAGTAATGAAATTCAGTGTTCTGTTTCTTCCAAACCCTTTGGGATCCTGCTCTTGGGTTGAAAAAGAAATATTTAAGGTGATTATGCTACCCAGACACAACTGCAAACAAAGATGGAGCTTTCCAAAGAGTCCAATCTCCCAAAGATAAATGGTGGACCTTTGAAGCATTCTGACAGAGCAGTAGGGTGCTCTGAGGGGCTGGCCGGCCCTGTGACAGTCTGCAAATCACATCCAGCGCAGATGGTCTCTTCCCACCTGTGGAAGGATCCAATTCCTGTAAGAAACTTAGAAAACAAAGGCTGGAGGGAGGAGCAGACTCAATCCTTGATTAGGGATCCAGGGTCCTTGGGGGTGACTTTGGGGACAGACAGAAGCTGGGAAGCATCCCCACAGAGGGTCGGTTAAGTGTTTTGCTTACTTCACCTTTGTCACATGAAATTATTCTCAAACTACTTTTTCAAGCAAAAACCCTGCTCTCGTGCATTTTCTAGATCCTGTATCAGCCATCCTGATGAGGGCATCCTACATCCAGGCTGAAACTGCAGAGGCTTATGGGTCAAGCCGTCCGTTCACGTCATTCTCTGTCCCCAAGAGGCTAGTGGAGAAAGGGTGGGAGGGGGTCAGGCTGGTCAGCACCTGGCAACTGCCGCCCACTGGCAATGGTGCTCTTATCTGACCCCAAAGCCCTTCTCTGACTGGTCCCTAACCCCCTCCTGCCATTCCTTGAGTCCGCATCCAGCCAACTTCCACTCAAAAAGAGAATCGGCCACCCCCTTTCTTCTTGCATGAAATCAATTCCCAGATATTTACTGGCATTTGCCATGTGCTCATGGTGGTGCTCGGGGCTCTGAAGAAGCCGGGAGCAGATTTCATAACCCAGCAAATATGCATGAAGCGGTTGCTCAGTGCAGAAGCGCACTGGGGCCCAAGTAGAGCAGAGTAAAGACAGCGGCGGCCTCTGGCCTCAGGGAGCCAGGGACCTGACGGGTAAGACCGCCAGCCCCCCCAAAATCAACACAGAAGCAGACAGACAGATAGGTAAACCTGTGCTGAAAGCATAAAAGAAAGAAAGGGAGGGGGCTCCCCTGGTGGCTAAGTGGTAAAAAATCTGCCCGTCAATGCAGGAGACATGGGTTCAACCCCTGATCATGAAAGATCCCACATTCCACAAGGTAGCTAAGCCCACGCACCCCAACTATTGAACACTAGTGAACGCGTGCTCTAGAGGCCGGGAGCCACAACTACCAAGCCCACGCGCCCTAGAGCCCACTCTCTGTAACAAGAGGAGCCGCCGCAATGAGAAATCCAAGCACCACAACTAGAGGCGAAACCTCGCAGCAATGAAGATCCAGCACAGCCAAAAATAAATACATAGGTAAAATTTGTTTGGAAAAAAAAAGAGAGAGAGGGAAAGGGAGTGATGTAAGCAAGAGTAGCGTGGACATGGGATTTCCTGGTGGTCCAGTGGTTAAGAATCTGCCTTGCAAAGCAGGGGACGCAGGTTCCATCCCTGGTCAGGGAACTAAGATCTCACAGACTGCGGAGCAACTAAGACCTGATACAGCCAAATAAATATTTTAAATTAAAAAAAAAAAAAGAGTAGCGTGAACAGGTCAACCCAGGAATCCCCTGGCTCAAGGTCTGAGCAGAGACAGGAGGGACTGGAGGAGATGGGGGAGGCAGACAGAGGCAGAGGGGAAACAGGAAGGAAGATCAGGCAGGGGCACAGAGGGGACCGTGGGGAGGCCGCCCAGGCTCCCTCCCTGAGGCACCATGGAGCCCTGCCCCTGGACCCCAGGAGAAAATTCAGAACCTTCTGAAGACCCTTAGCTCTAGGTATCTCTCACCTGCCAGCAAACAGCCCAGACCCCTTCCCCTTATATCCTACCATCCACCCAACCTCTCAGTCTCCTCTTGTCCAACAGAGATCTGGTTCCCCCTCCCTCCTCTCTTTCCAGTCTCCCAGCTGCTCTGGCCTGAAGCCAAGGGGCAGTCCCCACCCGTCCCTCTCCAGTACTGTCTTGTTCAGCCAAGCAAGTCACCCCCAAACGCCTCTGAGAGCCGCCTGCCTGCCCACAGAGCCACCCTGGGCCCCCCCACCGCTCCCTCACCCTCACAACCTGGGGGAGGAGGGCTCCTAACTGCCTCCCAGCTCACATTCTAGCGCCTTGCAGTCCACTCTCCACAGTAAGGCCAGAGCCGGTCATCAAACGAAAACTCCCTTCCACGGCCTCTCCCCGCACTGCAATCAAGTAAGGCTCTTTGAAGCTTCCCCACACTCTTCTCACCAACTGCAAATGCAGAATGCACCCATCACTGGTTCTCATCTCCCATCCTTCCCACTGCTCACTCCGCCTCTGCAGTCTGCCCCACTGGCCTGCAGTTCTTTTTGATTTTTAAGAACCAAGCCGCCAAGCCCCTTCCTACCTCAGGGCCTTAGCACAGGCCACACAGCATGAACTGCTGGAAGCTATTGACAGTTGCTGTAAAAATTCACCCTAGGGACTTCCCTGGTGGTTTAGTGGCTAAAACTGAGTTCCCAATGCAGGCAGCCTGGGTTCCATCCTTGGTTAGGGAACTAGATAGACCCCCACATGCCACAACTAAAAGTTTGCATGCCACAAATAAAAGATTCTACGTGCCATGGCAAAGACCAAAGATCCCACGTGCCACCACTAAGACCTGGAACAGCCAAATAAATATATTTATAAAAATAAATATTTATTTATTTTTTAAAAAGATTTGGTGCCTCCAAGGCAGAGGACGCCAGTTCCATTCCTGGTCGGGAAACTAAGATCCCGCATGCCGTCTGGCTCACCCCCTCAAAAGAAGAAAAAGCAAATCGCCCTAGAGCAAAATAGGCAAAGACTAGAACTCATCCTAAACGTGGGTCCCATGTGGATATAAACACCCTCCAAACACCCGCTGTCCCGTGGCAATCGGCCCCTGACCCGGCCACACCATCCCCAGATACTGAAGTGGAGGACGCGCACAGGGGGAGCGGGAATGGAGGGGGCAACCGCAGAGGGCACGGAACGAGAGGGTTGCAGAGAGAAACCTCTTCGGTTCGGATTTTTCCAAGAGGCTACGTGGTCCCGCGGGGACGCGCCTTCCGCGCCCTCAGCAGCCGGCGCCTCCATGACCACTAGGGGGCAGTGTCGACCAAGGTGTCAGGTCGGGGCTTCTGAGCTCTGCAGCCCCACACAGCTCGGCTCACTCCGCAGGACACAGAAAACGTAGTTTGGTGTTTTGTTTTGTTTTGTTTTGTTTTTGTATCATCTGTGATTGCTTTAACTAGATTTTTCAGGTTTTTTTTTTTTTTTAATAAGAATTCTGAGGAAAAGCAAGGGCAGTCATATAAAGTTGCTGCCCGCTGAACCCTACCAGGCATGTGTCAGCTCTTTTGGAAGTAGTAGTAATTCCGTTCCTGAACAATTGCGAGGGCGAGTCCGACAGAATCTAGAATGTGAGATGGTCCGGAAGGTACAGAGGAGCCCCGGGCGCTCGGGGAGCAGGTCCTCTGACCTCCGTCCACCTTTTTTAACATCTCAAGTAACCTAATAATTAATTTTATTGATTGCTTACTCCCTGACAAGCATTTCTGCAATTTCTTATTTCTTCCTCACACAATCCAGATTGAAGGCCGGACCCCCAATCCCTGCCCTACAGTAAAGAGTGGGATCCCAAAGGCAGGAATTTCCTGGGCTAATAACTGAAATGACGCTGATGAGAAATGTCCACCCCACCCCCCAAAATATGCACCTGCGTGCACGCTCATGCAGACACACACACACACACACACAGACTATAGCCATCCCACCCCTCCCTCACTATCTGCCACAAAAGAGGGCCTGTGATTGTAAAAATTCCAAAGCGGGTCAGGGGGACTGGCAATTCCAGAAGAGATTCTTGATAGAGGGTGGGGCCTCATGGGGGTGGCGAGCCTCCTGCCTCCCCTCTCCCCCACTGCCGAGTCCCGGGTTCCTTCGCATCCAGGTCATCTTTAACTCACATACCTTGGCCTCCAGTGAGCCATCCACCTAGGTGAGTATTGTTCAAACAGATAAGGATCCAGGGCCATAAAAGTTTCAGAATTTTAATTACCTATTCAGAACTAGGGAAATATTTACCTAGGGCAAATAAAGCAGGTATCTGGGGATAAAAGGAAGGCCAATTATATGGCAGGAAGAGTCTCCACCTCAGAGGAGCTGCAAATGTAGGTGATCCCAAGAATGTGAGTTGTCAGCACACAGAAATGTGCATTCAGTTTTAAAAGAGCAGAATGCAAGATGAACTGATCACAGCCACAGAAAGAGCACATATCTGTGTGACTCATGTTTCGGGAAAGCAGAAAAAAATTAGAAAAATGAAAGAATGTCATGGGGTTCTTTTTTGTCTTTTTTTCTTTTCTGCCTGGCCACACTGGGGCCATGGCTTATCTTTGAACAGACCTCAAGCTAAGAAGGATTTTTACATTTGAAGAAGGAGGATGAGGAGAAGTGTGTCCAGCCCCGGTTATATAAATATATAATTATATAATCAGCCTTTTTCACTATGAAT